TTTTGAATAGAGTTAAAAGATTAGATGATTAGATTTAATTATGGGTAAAGAGAACAGAAAAAAATTGGAAATAGGTGTATACTAGTTTAAGAGGGATATGTATTTTAAGTAGTATATTTCTTATTTTTTCCCTTTTTTTTTTTTCTCTCTCACGTCTTTTCTTTTTCTATATCTTTCTTTTGTGTCTTTTTCTTACTTATTTTTTAAGACATGAAAATAGATTTAAATATTTTAAGGTAATTAATTCTGGGAAAATTTTAACCAGTATAAATGTTTTGAACATTGTAGGGAAAATAAATTTAAACAAGAATTGTAAACAGGATTTATGATGAGGCAGCCAAGGTGACCAAGAAAAGAAGCATGATATTGATGTGATTATTATTGGTAGAAATTTTAGAAAAATCTTTATATTTAATTGTTACCTATCAAATTAGTAAGAATTGTATTAATTTAAGGTTACAAAGAGATTATTATTGGAAGATGAGAAAATAAAGCAAAGCTATTATGTGGATTTTGGAATATAGAAACTAACTGTTAATGATTATTTTGTAAATATAAATGCAGACAACAAGCTGTTTACCAAATATTAAGGTGTTTAGGTTAAAAAAAATCAATAAAATATCTTTAAAAAATATTGATTTAGAAGTTATCCAGTTCCAGGACAGATTAATCATTGCCTATTTTTTTCTATGGGTTAAAAATATCAAAATTTCCAACTGTTCCCCTTACCTGTTTCTTGGTTGTTCTTTTTTGGATACACTCTATTTGTCAATGTATTTCCGAATGTGCGGTACTCAGAACAGAACACAATATTCCAGGTCTTGCTTAATCAATGCAAACTAGAGAATTATGACTTCTCTTGATCTTGATACTATATTTCCGGCAGGTGTAGCCCAGGATTGCATTTATTTTCTTTATTTTAATTATTTCTTTCTTTGCCGCTGCATCACACTTTTGGTTTATGTGATCCACCAAGATACCCATCATTTTTTAATGTACTGTTACCCTATATGGCTCATCCAATTCTGATGAGTTTGATTTTTTTGCCTGCCCAAACATAAGATTTTGCATTTGTACTTCCTGAATTCATCTTACTAGTTTCTATCCATTGACTCATCTTGACTAGTGCTTCCTGAATTTTGATACTGTCCTTTGAACCCGTTCTATTACTGATAATAACATTTTCTAAACCTCATCCAAAGTTATTCTCCTAAATATAGAAACTGACTTTGAAATTGACAAAAACTGATTTTCAAAGTGGGTGATATAAATTGTACGTCCAGCTATGTATAATACCATGCTGAGAATTATACTGAAGACTCCTTGTGCTGATAGATGTTTTATCTGTTATTAACATAGCTGTAAACATGAAAGGAAGACTGCATACTGTACAGTTATTTTTAGTTTGCTATTGCAATTATCAGACACAAAAAGACTTTATAAGGCACCATATATTGACATCAATTATCCTAATAGGTGTTATATATATTCAGTAAGACCAATGGAATACAACTAATATACAAAGGCTCATAAATACTAAAAATAAATGGATTGTTCATAATATATGTATGTATGTATTTCATGGCTAATATATGTTGCAGGGAAGAATACATCATGGAAGACCAGTACTTGGCTATTATTACGATTTTTAGTACTTCTGCTCAGATATGTAGAACTTAAGAAATTAGTCTTTGGCCCTAATAATTTTACTGGAGCTTAATGATCTTCCAGAGAAAAGGGTTCTTTAGATAGCAGTATTTAGTTCACTCACAACAGTCATCTATGTATTTACTCAGAAAAAAACAGTGTTCCACATATCAGAAAGATCATTTGGAAAATATCCTCATTATGCTGAGCAGGGCCTTAGATATCTGCCCCCAAAATCTTTCCTTGAACTTTGCTATGTTTATCTAACACAGCAATTTAGTAGGTGAGAGCACTTAAATAGTATATTGCAATGTATGAATAATATACTAACTCAAGTCAAATGCTTTTGGAAAATTACACCAAATAAATTATAAAGAAGAAAAAAGCTTACTGTTTAATATACAGGAGGATGTAAAATTGTTATATATTAGGCACTATGTTACTAATATAGTTAGCTTTATTTTAGGAGCAGACAGTAAAAAAAATGTATTGAAATGGCTTATATCTGATAGGATATGTATTTATGAGTAGACCCACTGAAATAAATTGAATTAAAAATAACTCAAAATTATTTCAATGTAATCATTTCTTCATTGTGAAAATTAAATTCCTTATTTGCTTTTTCACTTGAATTATTACAACTGCAATAATTGGCAATTCAAAGTTATACTTGTAATAAAAAAGACTGTGACAAAGGTTGACAAAAGGCAAAAATGGAAAAGCCTCACCCTGCAAAGAAATGGTAGTTGCAGAATTGTTTTGCTAGTAATTCCTGATGAATAGTGTATAGGTCTGTCCGCTTCACTGAAAAAGTCAGCAAGGCGACTGTTAGAAATATATTCTGGTTAGGAAAAAAAAGATTGCTAGTTGGAGTTTCATGATTGTGTGTCAGGAGTGTTTTGTTTTAATGTGGAAGATATCCAAATATGAACACAATGTTAAGAAAAAAGATTTCATTGCAGGTTTTGGAGAATATTTGGAAGTTTTCATATTTGTAGGAAAAAGATGAACTATGTGTAAATACAATTAAATGAATCTCAACAATATTCAATACTATCAGAAACAGAACAGCTTGAGAACTTATTTCTGGGGAAATAGTGAAGAAGATACCAAACACAAAGTGAAAAATGTTAAAATCATTTTTAAGGGTTATATATTGTTTAAAATATTGGTGTGAAGTAGAAATAGGGCAGAACTTGCCAAGGCATGTATATATTGATTAATCAGGAGAAACTATACAAAAAAGAACACTACAAAAGTCTACACCATGTAGAGATGTTTAAATATTGCTAATATTATTGTACTAGAAATGTCTTAACCAAAGAAACTGGAATGCTTAGTGATAAAACAAAATACAAAGATGGTAGACATAACAACTGAAATAAAGATGACAAATCCCTGAAATATAGTATAGCTAAATAGAAAATACATAGAAAATAAAGCTATTAGTTTTGTGTTGGTTTAAATGTCCAGAAAAGGAAAATGAGAAAAGTAAATTATTCACAAAATAAAAGCTTCGTATTCCAAATTAACTTAAATAGGGGAGATACTGTGACATACTTGGCCAGGATTCTTGAAATAGAAAATAAGTATGTTAAAGGTGTGTCCATAATAGTCTCCATAAAAATACTTAGGCAAACATGTCCTGATATGAGAAATGGTCATTACACAGAACTGTCTAAATGAAAGTAACTCTGTTTAATCCTTATTTCATGTCTTTATTGGCCTGCTACCAATGCACATTCAGCAGATTTTCAAAAGCTATTTGGCATCCATTAAATCTGTTGTAATGCATAAAATGTGTGACAAAATGCAACCAGTAAATTTTGCTTTTCCTAGATGTACAAAACATGAATTTACATTGTAATTCATAAATGAAAAATATTATGAGTGATGATTTTACACATACCTAATGGAAAAAATACACAAAAACCAAAATTACATACATAATAGGAAATCTGCATAGAAGTCTCTGAGGTTAACAGTAATAAATGATACAAAATGAAATTCAATATTATGTGTGTTTGTATCTCTGTGAGTCTCTCTGTGTCTCTCTGTGTGTGTGTGTAAGTAAAATGATAGTTGTCTAATCACTGCAAAGAAGCCAGATGCATCATAGGACACTAACCTATTGAGAGGCACTTGTGTATCTCAACATCTAAAATATCCAACAGAAAACAGAGCTTATGCAACATAGTTTTTTAAAAAATGGTTAGAACAATTAGGATAATATGTGACCTGAAAGATATTAAACAAGTGTAACTCCCAGCACCCCTCATAATTTTCATCTGGTTGTTGCGAGGTGTAGTTCAGCAACAGTAGGAGAGGTATATGTTTTTCATACTTGCATTAATATTTATTACAATATTGGAGACAAATTAGGAAATTTACTGCAAGGTATACAGTATACTAAAGCAAAGAGAGTCTTTTTCTAGTTGAATGAGAGCTGCTTTTCAGGAAAGCTATAATGTGGAACCAGTCTTCCCTACTCCAAAGCCAGAAACTAAAACCTGGTGACCATAACAACTTAACAGATCTTAAATCTACCATTCCATGAAGGACCTGACTTCATTCACAGAGTTGGAGACAGGAAATACTTGAATCTCAACCTTTTTTCGCTTCTACAGGAAACCAAACTTTGATACCTAATATGGACAGGATTCATCATCTCATGATGTCAAGCGATATTAATTCCTCCTGTGTTTTGCTCTAGGTTGCAGGAGATGTAGAATGCGCTCATTTTTTGTCAAATCTGAAGGCAATTCATTTTTCTGAAAAAGAAACAAATCAGTGAAAAACCAGAAAAAGGATGGTCACTGCTTAGCTTTGATATCCAAGTTTAAGACACAAATCAACAGGATTATTTGCATTCAGTTATAGATCACAGGTAATTCTTGACCTATGACTGTAATGGACCTTGCCCATTATGGTTCCATTGTGGAACCGCCTCACTTAATTACTCCTACCCCTTCTCTCCTGATGCCACCATTAAATGAACACACAAGTCATTGCCACCCAGCTGTTTCTGTAAGGGAAGCAAACAAGCAACAAAAAGTGTTGCAAAGTCAAAAACAGCCCAGTAAGGGGAAAAAGCTAAATTATGACTCATGTTCCAATGTTGGAGAGACCTCCAAATAAGCCTGCGTGTTTGATTGATGAAGTCGCTTGTGGGCTGGACCTCTGCCCTGATCAGCTGGCTGTCATGAGACTGCAAACCTCTCCTTGATCTTGCTAGGCCTTGGGAAAGCCAGCCGCCTGCATGCAGAGGTGGCAGCTTTAGCCAATTTTTCTTTGAGCTGAACTTTTTCTTCAGCTTCTTCAATGCAAAAAAGTTGCAGAAAGATTTTCTTTGCTTGCTTCCTTTACTCTTCAGCCTGGTAGTCACTCATCAAGGTAAGTCACTTACAGAGTTTGTCATCTTGCCAGCATGCAATAAATTTAGCAAATGAGGTGATTAAAGGAGATTGAAGTTAGATGATATACATAGGAATGGGCAGATTACGTTTAATTCCCTGGACCTGTCATTGGCCTTTCGTAAAAATGACCATAATTACCTAGCTGGAATTGTAGTAATGTGTATGAAGTCAAAATGACTTCAATTTTCTTTGGAAGAAATAATCCAAACAATCCTTTGTCTTCAATGGCAATTGATCTTTGAAGTGCTTCAAAAGTTTATTACGCTTTTTAAAATTTACATGAAACTTCTATGTGAAGGCAATTATAATCTGGAATAAATTTCAGCAAAATAGCACATACGTCTCCCTGGGCTAATCCAGGGAGGCTGAAGTTGTGAATAGATTGAAAATTTGGTTTTAGTATGGATGGGGCTAGCTGCTATAAGCCTTCCCCAGTTAAAATGAAGATATTACAGGTAGGAAAAGTTGTTGATGTGAAGGGTGTGATTAATTTTGGATTAGGTAGATCGCTCACCATTTAATATGTCTATTTTTTTTATAAATTTTATCTATAAACTATGCCTTTTGCCCCCCAAGTAGTACAAAATGTTGAAACAGTAATTGAAAACCTGTCCTACATTTGGTAGTTTTTAAGACATTATGAAAGTTTCTAAAAATTGTCCTGACAGAAATAACATCATACTGTAATGAATGCAAATAATTATTGCCAAAAGTTCTGCTGCCCTCTAATGGATAGCTGTTTTATTTTCCAGCTGAACTGAACAGAACAAAATTAAGAGTTAGAAGAGCCCTTGGAGGTCTTCTATCTAGTCGCACTCCCTGTTCAAGCAGGAGACTGTATACTATTTCAGACAAATGGTTGTCCAATTTCTTCTTAGAAACCTCCAATGATGGAGCACCCACAACTTCTGAAGGTAAGCCATTCCACTGGTTGTTCTAACTGTCAGGAAATTTCTCCTTATGTCTAGGTTGGTTCTCTCCTTGATTAGTTTCCATCCATTGCTTCTTGTGGTGCCTTCAGGTGCTCTGAATAAAAGGTTGACACCCTCTTCTTTGTGGCAGCCCCTTAGATATTGGGATATCATGCCACCCTTAGTTCTTCTTTTAATTAAATTAGACATACCCAGTTCCTGCAACTGTTCTTCATGTTCTAGCCTCCAGTTCTCTACTCATCTGCTGTACTTTTTCCAGAGTCTCAATGTCTTTTTTAACCATCTAAGAATTTTCAGAATGTTTTCGTTAAAAATTTAAAATACTGTGCCCAATTGTTTTACAGTTGAAAATGTGTAGCAAGTGTAAAATAAAGTATGATACCTTGTTTTTAAGTAATGGATCTGCTCCTGCTTCTAAGAGTAATGCTACTGCTCTAATATTGCCACCAAGAACTGCTTCATGAAGGGCAGATGTCCCATTCTAGAAAGTACAGAAAAGATATAAATACATCCATTATAGTTCTATTCTACAATATGTCATAAATTATAGTTCTGAACATTCCAAAGTTTTTATCCCTCAAAACTTGCCTTCAGGATGCCAAGTGCAGGGGAGAATTTAAGTAATTCCTCTATAACATCATTATATCCTTTGGTTGCAGCTTTAAGTAAAGCAGTTGTGCCATCCTTCAACAGAAACAGAGGAAAGAAGGAAGTGGATATTATTGCACACAAGTTCATTTTCATTTTTCATTTCTCTCTTCAGAATTTATGCAGAAAGATTTCTCTCATTCTTTAGATGTGACTGAGATATTACTTTCTTCATAATTCATAATTTTTTTTAATTTATATAAAAATATAAACAGTTTATATAACGTGATTCAAGGATGACTTCAAAAAAGAAGTGATATAAATCTGACATCTACTGTATGTTGTTAACAAGTATAATGTAGGCATTTGCTGATTTTTTATAACCTAATGAGGCATTCAGATTAACTTTAAAACAAGCACATAATTGCAACCTTTGGCTAATTTTAATAAAAATTACTATGGTATATACAATGGTATATACCTCCTATAACAGTGGTAGCGAACCTATGGCACGCGTACCAGAGGTGGCACTTGGAGCCCTCTCTGTGGACACACATGCTGTTGCCCCAGTCTCGCTTCCCCCCACGACCCCCTTCTCACCAGCAGCCCCCCTGGAGGAGAGTCGCCCCCAAGCATGGCCCACATGGAGCAGCGCAGCCAAGGATATGGCAGCCAGGCAGCATAGACAAGACTCTGCCCTCACAGCCCATCCCGCACAGTTGATGCTGCGGGGCGCGGGCAGAGGGCGTGGCCATGGCGCTGCTAGGCTGCCTGGGCGATCTGCGGTGGGCCCTGGAGGCAGTGAATGGCCCTGCGGGCAGGCGGGGTGGGGACGGGGCAGGGGTAGGGGGTGGGGCCAGTTTTTGGGCACTCGGTCTCTAAAAGGTTCGCCATCACTGTCCTATAATGTACAATACTGCAATTATCCTAACCTCCCTTTCATAATTTTTAAAATTTTCCTTAACTTTCATTATATTTCACCTTCTCCCTAATAAGTAGAAGCCATAAATAATTATAATCAAATCTATGGTTCCTTTCCTTCTTTACTTTACTTTCATAGTAATGTTAAATACAATATGAGGAAAGAGTTAAAATATGATTTTTGAAACATGGGTTATGAAAAACTCAATAACTGAACTCTATGGGTTATTTGTAAGATATGCATTTGTAAGATAAATACACATATTTACATGCATACTTAAAATGTAAATGAATGCCATGGGAGAGCAATTTTTTTCAGAATACAGTTCCTTTCATTCTGGTTAATTCTGGTCATGAAGCAACAGTTGGACTTTTAAGTACTGTAAGTACAATTTCTAATGTGCCAGGCAACAAGAGATACTTGAGAAAGTATTCTAGCCAGAATAGACACCCAAATTACCATAAATAAACCTTACTATAGAATCATTCTTTCTTTCAACGTAAAATCTAGAAAACTAAAGTGCTTGCTTACAAGTCTTGCAGCCTCTCGATCTGCTCCTCGGAGCAGCATCACTCGCACTACATCACTGTGTCCCATCTGAGAGGCTATCCATAACGGAGCTGTCCCATCCTGAAGGTAAATTTAAAAATGGATCAGGATTAATCAAGTCAATTCAAGCAGTGCTAAAAACCTCTGACAGTTTACAATGAGATTCTGGCTGGAGTTCAAGGACAAAATGAACCTGGATATCCAAATGAAATCCTTTCCTTGGAAATAAATAGTATTCAGGAAAAGTGGAAATGCAATTGTGCATATAAATTAGCGTGTCTTCAAGCTGAAAAAAAACCTTTGCATACTATAGACAAAATATTTGTTGCCTATATGAAATAATGGCATCACTCTGAACCACTGTATTTTTTCTTTAAAAACTACTCAGGATAGATCCAGACTTAGTCATGTTAAGAGAAGCGGCAATGAAATTAACAACAATACTCTTGACTATGGACTCTTCTAGATAGCCACATTAAAGTACTATCTACCAGTCCTTGAGCCAATAGCAAACTATGCCAGCATAAACTGGTATAGTCTACTTTGAGATATCTTAGAATAAACTGAAGAGTAGAACAGCTTGCAAACAGCAGTCTGGCTGACCCATTTTGCATTAGCTGCTGCATGTAGATGCTCTTCAAGAATAACATCATATGGCTTACAATATCTAATAAAACATGAGGTGATCAAAGCATGGCATATGAGGGATAGCAGCACTTCCCCAATAAAGCTGAGAAAACATCCAAAGCTGGGCAAAGACCAGTTTTGTCACCTTCTCAATCAGAATCAAGCAGTGCTGAATCCAAGTTTGTAAAGTTATCAAACAGTGTATTAGAAGAAGTATAGTACAGAACCGGTCGATGAAAAAAAGAAAATTTCATATCCATGATTTAAAGCTGATTTGTTTCAAAAGTAATAAGAGTTAACTAAGAGTATGTGAAATGAATAAAAAATATAATCATTACAGGAATTAATTCTGTTTTATATGGCATCTAATGTCAACAAGTATTTCCACACATTAAAAGAAATGGGAAACCTTCAGGTCAGTTATGATACGTCACATGTTGGCAGATAAAAGTAGGCCTATAATTAATAAGCCAATTTCTAATTACTTCCAATAATTGGTATATATTATTTTGAGGTTTACTTATCAAGATATTAAGGAAAGAAAGATAATCAGTTTTCTATATAGGATATCTGGGTGCACAGAGACAAACAAAGAAAATGTTCCTTATTTAATGACCACATGTTCAGTGACTTGAACTTACAATGGGCTGAATGAATGATACATGTACATATGGCCATGCAGTGTAGCCTCGTGATCATGATTTTGCAGTCTTTCCTGCTAGCCACCCACAAGTGAAGTCCTGCTGGCAGGAAGTTGGAAGTCATGGTCATGTGAAGTCCTCATTTACACAACCTACACAGTCCTTGTTTAATGATGGCAACCAGGGCTGCTGGAACTGCCATCGCTAAATGGCATGGTTAAATGGTTTTATGGCTTATGACCACATTGTTTAACAACAGTTTCCAGTCCCAATTAGCATTGTTAAATGAGGACTACCGTGTTTCCCCAAAAGTAAGACTTACCCCGAAAATAAGCCCTAGCTTGATTTTTGGGGTGGGCTTAATATAAGCCTTACCCAAAAAATAAGCCTAAGTTTTGGGATGAGGCATACACCTAAAAATCAAGGTAGGGTGTAGGTGTGGACCTGCCCCATGTGCTCTGCACCCACTTACCTTGCAGCCAGGCCTCCTCTCGCCGGCCCACTTCTCTGGCGTCCACAGGCCTGCATTTCGCAATCAGGCCTTTCCGTAAGGCCTCTGCAGCCGAGAACTGAGCTATCGATTGAATCCATTGCTCGGTTATTGACTGCAGAGGCCTTCCGGGCTCCATTCTGAGCTGCAGAATGAAGCTGTTCCTTCAGCTGCAGAAGAAGTGGGGTGGCTGGGTGGGGCTCTCCGTGCTGGAGGTGAGTGGAAAAGACACCCCTCCCTTCTGAAAATAAGACCTGGTGTCTCTTTTGGAAGCAAAAAAAAAAAAAAAAGACCCAGTCTTATTTTTGGGGAAACACGGGTACATGTAGTAGATTCATACACTTGGAAAGGAAGCATTTAAGACTACAAAGTGGGACTAGTCACATAAATGCATTATTTATACTGAGGTATATTCTGATGTTACCTACTGCTTTGCTTATGCTATATTACATGTGATATTTATCAGTAAAATGCAATAAAAGCTGTATAAGTAATTACATAATATAATGTGATAATATATTTTATTCAGTAGATGGCACTGTACTATATTATATTTAAATGTATGTAAATATATCAAAAATTTGCTGGGTTCTGTTCTGCTGGGTTCTTTGAATTGGTATGCATTCTCTAACCTTTCAGTGACATATATCTCTTTCACTGTTTGGAACAAATGGATTCTAGTTAATAAAAGGTTGACAATTCAAAGAAGAATATCTGAGCAGCTATGCAAAGTAGTCTAGACAAGAAGCACAGGAGAACTAGCTCTATTTTTATTGTAAGCTTACATTAAAATATTTCTCCTCTCCTTTCCTTTAAACTATCCAATTGTATCATTACCAGGGACCTCAACCTACAACATCGCTGAAGAACCGACAAGAAAGCTTGGACACCTCACAGAGGGAAACAAATGCTTCCAAAGAATCAAAGACCTGAAAATAGTTGAAATATAGTTGAAATCATTTTCTCATTTGATATGATAGCACTCTCTGCATACACAGAATTAGCAAAAGAATCCATGACAGCAATACTATATAGCACACCTGATCTAACCATATATATCAAGATTGAAATACCCAGAATCATGGATCTCATCAACCTTTGACCACATATTTTCAGCTTGATGGACAAATATACAACAAATCGAACTGGGACTACAGCTTTCAGGACTCATAGAGACCATAATGCCTAGGAATCTCTAGCAGTCCCACACATAGAATCCAAAGTATGGATCCGGTACGTAGTTGATATCTTGTCATACTCAAAGGACCATCTGGAGAAAACATACCATCAATAACATACATCTTCAAAGAAATAAAATTCCCAAGAAACATAGAAAACAATATGCTACCCTTCCTAGAAATCCTCAGAGGCAGTGATGGCAAATTAAAGCACAAATCTATCAGCCATACTAACCAAGTGCTCCACTACCAAACTAACAACCTAACTTCCCACGAGAAAAACACTATTTAAATGAGCACAAATGCACTACAGCAACCCTGAATATCAGAAAAAAATAGATTATCTACATCTTCCATCCAAATGGATACCGATGCAACTTTATCAAAATAGGCTGACCAGTCATGTCAATGTAGCACAACCAACACAATCTGTGAAAAGAATAACACTGCCATACATCAAAAACATCTTAGAAACCATAAACAGTCTATTACAACCACATGGCATCACCATAGCACACAAACCAACGAAAGTCCTCCAAAACCTCCTAAGTAAACCAAAAGACCCAATAGCCTCAAAAGGAAAAACATACAGTCATACAGTAACTCATACAACAGCATACAGTGTACAGTAACAGCCACCATGTAGGACATACAGGCAGAAGACTAGCAGAGCACATCCATGAACACCAACTAGCAGGCTGAAGACATGATGCAAACTCTTTAATTTCATAACATATTAAACGACTCAACAATAGTTCAATTGGGAAACAGAGAGTATCCTAGACCATGCCAAATCCAAAAACACTAAAGAATTCCTGGAAGCCCAGCACTTAGAGCAAATCAGCCATCAACAAGCACAGAGACAATCAAAGAGCCAAAAAGGAAACAATAAGACCAAAACACCTCATCGCTAGCAATCAACACCCAGATGAGCAGAGATTAACACCAAGATTAACACTAGGCCAACAATCAAGAGGTAAGCAATATCCCACTCAAACAGTAAACAAACAGGCTAATCAAGGTACTACCAACACCACTTCCAGCAGCACTGACAGGGCAAGTCACTAGTATATAAAATGAGAGCAAATCCCATCCCTTCCAATATGTTACATAGTTTGATGATGTTGCATAGTTTGGTAATGAAATACCTGCAAGAAAACAAGCTCAGGGAGCACCAAGGACCCCCTCACATTTCCTTTAACTCTCCAAAAACAAGGAAGGCTCTCTTCTGAAACACTTCCCATGCCCTGCTACTGTATGAACTGAGATACCTTTTACACACTGCTTGTCCAATCTCTGTGGCTGTCCTTCCCGTCTCCAAGATCACTTTCACATACCATTACATATTGCCAAATATCAGAACAAATTTAGCAATGTGCAGAAAGTCTATTATGGAAACCCAAGGTCTATCAAATACTTACTTCCATATTAAAAGTCAGAAAAATTAATTATAAGCTACTGAGTATTAAGATGTTGCATGTGTAATTATAAGCTACTGAGTATTAATTTTAGCATGTAATAGATAAAGTCGGTAATAAAAAAAATCTATATCTTAACAATGCTGAATATTACCTGCCTTGGCTGGTTGACCTTTGCTCCTGAAGATAGTAATAACCGAATTAAATTCAGATAGCCTCCCTGAGCAGCCAGGAAAAGTGCAGTAGCTCCATCCTTAATTTGAAATACAAAAATAATTAGCTTGTTTACTAATAAAAATGTCCATAATAGAACCAATGAATGTTTTCCTTCTTCCATTAATCCTCAAGCATATTAAAATGCCACTTGTACTTAAGAATGTTTTCCACATCCATTAAACACCTCCTGCCACTTAATGCAACTCTTTCTGAAACACTGATGAAAGTAAAATACAAAGATACTCTTTAATTAGTCTGCTCCTAGCTTGAAATGTAGTCAATGTAAAGCAGGGGTGTCAAACTGCTGGCCCGCAGGCCGGTTTCATCATACCGGAGCCGTGCCCACCCCATTGCCGGCAATGGCAAAAAAGCTCCGATACGTCACACAATGTCACGTGACATCGCGAGTTTCACATGCCTGATGTAAAGAATGGAGTTGTTTTGTGAGTAATTGTTCCATCAGGGTGTATTTGAGGTCTGCCTAGAGAGGAACTTTGCCAATCAGAAACCTTTTATCAGCTCAGCTGAGTAACAAATATGACAAATGGCAACCAGGTTCTTCTGTTTATCTATTGCTTTGAAGTATATCAAACCATTTAAAGACTATCAAACACAACTTGACTAAGGATTTCCATTAATTTTTTATTGAAAATTTTGAAACGATCTAATTTAAAAAGAGTTTGCACCAAAAGCTATACGCTGCTCGTTTGTATATTGTTACCTTTCTTTTATAACTTTATTGATTTAACAAACCATATAATGTAATTTATTTTTTCCTAGTTTTATTCATTGCCTTGATTTTTAAATATTTTATTAGATGCATATAAATCAAGTATTTGATTTAACTTGTCCTTCCTGAAAATGTAAAGAGAATAATTAGAGGAGAATGTTTTACCCAGTTGCAAAGAAAAGTGAAAAAGAGGAGGGAATGGGAAAGACATGTTGTAAGATGAGGAACTTCCTGGTAACATTACATATATTATGATCAGTACAGTACATTTCCTCTCAGAGTGGTTGAGCAAAAAACATCACTCATCTATCATATGCTGTCAACCTCCCTACAGCAATTATGGCCTATGTTCTCATTTGTTGCTGATTTTAGATATGGAGGTTACTTGTTAAGCAAAGCAAGGGGCAAAATCAGTGGTGGGATTCAAATATGTGAACAACCGGTTCTCTGTGTGGATGCCGCTTCCGGAAATCCATTTTGGGCCTGAGCAACAAAAAATTAGCTACCGGTTCTGCCGAAGTGGTGCGAACCGGCTGAATCCCACCACTGGGCAAAATCCTCAGCTTCAGTCCAACTTCCCAGATGTAACCTGCCAGCAAAAATCCACTTGAAGATCAGGACAATAATGTAGGAATTGGTATCTATGATGCTTGGAGAGAGAATGAATTTTGACAGGTAACCTTTACTGCTTTACAGTACACATGCAACAAAGCAAAAGAGCAAAACCAGTCAAAATTGAGAAGGATAAAGTAAGTAAGGAATTTCAGTACCGTATACTTTCTCAACCATAGAACAGCTGTCTAGCAAATTGCAAAAATCTGGATTAAAAAAAAGAAGTAAAAACGAATGGTGGTATAGAAAAGTGCCTCAGATCCAAGGGGTAGGTTACTCCATACCAGCACTAAGTTTGTCCATATTCCTTACTGCACTTACTGGCCTAGTCATGCACCTAGCCTGCTTTATAAGAAAACGCTATTTTCAAACTGTAATAGCCAAAGACAGATTAGCCTAACCCCACTCACAAATTACAGACATGAAGGCAAATTACAGACATGAAGGCAAGCTCATGAAGACAATAAAATAAAGAGATTGCTAGGATATGTTTGTACTGTGGCTAGATGCAGGTATCATGGCTCAGTTAGTGGCTAGAAGATTCCAGCCTAACTTCATATACTACTCTAATAGGGAGAGCAGGAATGTCCAGAAAGAAACAAATATCCATCACCAACAGATTCTGGGGTGAATAGAAATAAGGAGCAATCCAAGTCATTTTTTTTGAGAGAGAAAAAAGCACTGCAACAAAATGCCAAAGGTTTAAATTTTTTGGAATACAATAATCATAATTTTTTTTTTGCCATATTTGTTCCTTAGGGGGTCTAAGTGGGGAAAATCCTGCTGTATGAAGCAACCTTGCACAATTTGCATGATTATTCCACTCTAAACAGCTGTCTCTGAATTTTAAGCGAAATCATTGCTTGCTTTATACAGGTGTATAATAAAGAGTATATTACAAATGAAAGTTTTCAGACATTATTGCAGAAAAAAGTTACTGTTGATGATTTTTAAAATTATTTTAATTTTTTTTAAAGATTAGTAGTATAGAGAAATCAATTATAGGTTTGCATACTGGGGGACAATAAGAAACTGGTTGGAATGCTGCATTATCCATGTATATTATTTATCATCTTTGTATTTACATTCTATCACATAGGTTTATTCATATATACTGTATATATGTTCAATAACACAATCTTTGATCTCCGGGAGAGGTATAAACCAGTTGTTTATTGCTAAAAAGATTTTTAAAAACAATAAAAACAACTATTTACAATATTAAAAAACAACTTAGCTTTTGCTGGTCCACTGCCAGCGTCCTCAGAGTGAAGCTTAGGGGGTGGGGAGTTCCTTTTTATAAACCTTGCTAGCCTAACTGCTTACTCATTGCTCGTGTGATAGGGCCATCCTTCCTGGCTGACCGTAATTGCCTTAATTGTCCCGCCTCCTCTTTTTTGCACTCCAGTTCTACACCTTTTCCCCCTCCCATCCTTGTCCATCTCCTCCCTCCCAGCACCGTTGCCACCGGTATGCTCTCTAACTGCTCCCTCATGCTCATTCCAGGCTGCACATTCAGGTCCAGTGCCCCAAAAGTCTTTCCATTAAATATATATATATATATTTAAACCAAGAGTTTACCTTAAATCATTTAACAGAAAGAGGGAAATGAAAATTAGTTGGGATATGCCAATTTATTGATATGTAAATGAATATTTCTGGTGAACAATTATTACATTGGATACTTACACAAGTTATTGTATTCGAGGTACAGAACCTTGGAAGATAGATATATAAATGACCTCTAATCATAGACACCTCTTTCCTTGCAGCCATAGTTTGCATGCAGCTCTCCCAAGGCTTTAGTGCAGCTCCTACATACCCCTCCTACTTTTTTCCTGAAATACAGGGGTAATTATTCGATGCAACATTTTATTGTGTCAAAATTGTACTTGTACTATTGTACTTTAATACTGGAAGTGGCAATTTTGGGTTAGCTGTATTTTTTTAAAGGTCTGGAGTAAAGGAATTTTCCCCTCCCCTGTTTCATCACAACCCACCACCTGAGTGGGTTTCTCACCCAAGAAAAAAATCAAGGGCAACCCTCAGCTGCTAAAAGAATCCCATTCTGATTTACATTATGCAAACTATGGTTACTGAATTGTAGATTGTACCATTTTAAATAAAGTCTCTGCATGGCATAAATTAAAGCAGCACTATAGTAGAGAGATAGGCAAAAACCTGAGGTTCTTGTTTGCTAAGTAAAGAGAAGTTATTTTTTAACTTAGGAAATATTAAAAGAATCTAATTGCTATGGCAATCTCATGAACAAGCTAGAGCTGAATTATTTCATTCTGCAAACATATGGAAGAGGTTGTATTAATTTGGTGTTCCAGATATCTTCAATTATTTGAGAGACTGTCACATAGATAATGAAACAATTTATTCTTTTTATCCCCAGAAAGCAGGACCTAAATAACTTTATATTTTAAGATGAAGAACTTC